CCTATTTTGCGTTCTTCTAGATCTATTAAAAGGATTTTCTCTCTGACGTATGAATGTACCTCCTTGAGTGCCTAAACAACAATTATTATCATAATTAATTATTTATGACAAATTTATATAAAGAACGCTATAAATGATAAACTGTTTTACCTTGATACCCATCGCGTATCAAAGGCGTTGAATCATCGGCATCTGAATCACTTTCATCTGTAACCACTTGTTCGTCTGCTGCAAAAACCTTCCGTTTACAAACTGGACATACTCTACGATTTTTCGTCAACCAGGGATCAATGCATTTGGTATGATAAGCTAAAATATATACAAAATTATTACTATTGTGTGCTTAAATGTTTATATAATATTTTTATCATTACGCATTATAAGAAACTCTTTATTTAAAAAAATTTTTCTCTAAAAGGGGTACAAAGGTACAGTATTTTCCCTTTCTTTATTCTGAAGGGTTATCCTAAGGAGTCCAGTTTGTCAAGGCAAGGTTTCCCCTATTCCTCTAGAACTATCGGATATCAGACATACGTTCGACATATATGTCATGGGACCATCTAATGATATCGCTCGCCATCAGCCTCTTTATTATGCTAATATATCTTTTATTAATCTTTAGAAAACTCATTACTATGGTCCCGTGACCCGAGAATACCCATTGTAAAAGAGATCTCCATGACTTGTAGCACTACGGATCTTCGGCTAGAGGAATATATTTTTCTATTTTTTTAACTCTAACCTTCTCTATAGCCTCCCTCCGCTTTTCAAATAGCACAGCTACATTACTTTTATGTTGCAGTTTTCCCCTTATTACAACATCAGGTTTAATGTCTGCTATCGATTTATGAATCCCTCTACAGTCTGGTTGATCGACAGATAATATTAAATTATTTTACCAAAAGTACACTTTACCATGAGCACAAGGCAGCACTCTTAATTTTTCTCCTTCCATATAATCATCTAGACAAATAGCACATGTTTCATAAGGATCACCTTTCGTATATTTATGAGTTGGAATTTTTTTTAAACTTGAATTTGGTAATCTATGTCTGCGTTGTCTTCTTCTATCTTTAATACATCTGACAATCTAAAAACATAACAGAAGATATAAGTATTTGAGATACAATTGTATGCTGTATATGTTAATAAATAGTTTGAGCTTACCATAAAAATAACCATAACTAAGAAACAAATTCCTACAACAATTGCAAATGGCAAAAGCAAATGTGTATTAATATTAAATGGTAGATCATCATTGATCAATATAAAATATAGTTGATCATACAAATAATTTTCTTTGATAATTAATCCTGTAAGTTCACTAACAAAAACAGATGGTATCTGTATCCCTATTGGATCTTCAGCTGACATCGGCTCTATAACATAATATAATAAAGACTTATAAACAATATATTTTTTTACACAAAACTAAAAAAAAAATGGTATTTATACAATATGCAACAAATAAGATAGGAATATAATTTACTTACTTACCTAATTCATTGCTGTTCACATTATGTATAATGGCAGCATCATAACCAGCTTTTTGTGCCATTCGCACTTTAATTTCAAACTTACACTCATAGCGAGCGATTAAAACTATCCAATTTCCTTCATAATTCGTATCATTTGGAGGGCCTTGTATTTCATGACAAGCAGTAGGAGGGTCGGCATAAACAACCATACCCTAGGTGAGTAATAACAATAATTCCTAAATTAATAATATATAAAATTTGTTTTATATATAGCTAAGGATAAAAAATATGAAAAAAAATATATATATAAACCTTAATGCCTTCAGATGGTATAAAGCCGCCAAATCTAGCTGGCATATCACGAAATTCATCTTCTACCTGATATCTGGTACCTGCTGAGAACACTAAAATATCGGCACCACAATATGTGACGCAAAAAAGTAATAGTAAAAGCCATAATTGAACTTGGTGGCTCACACAGCACTGTTGCATTTTTATGATTGTTAGAATAGCATCCAAGTTTACATATATTAAAATTTAATAAACTGATCGATATTCTCCTAGTTGATTCATTATATCAGATTCACGTTTATTCTGCAACCATTTGCAGAATTGTATCCATTGAAAAAGTCTAGTGTTATTTATCTATAAAAACAAATATATACATGTAATAAGTATAAATAGGACATGAAAATGATTAGAGGTCTACATAAATAGATGTATATACATATATGAATAAGAATAAAGTTAATTTTAACAATAAATGTTGATACAAACTCATGTTGATTACTTTATCATTAATTATAAAAAAAAGATCCGAAATTTTGGTTTTTAATATTTAATCGTTTTGCAATGATTCAAATTCGATCGAACAAATAAAATATTTGGTACCAATATTTAAACATAAAAGGAAACGTCCCAACGAATCGTGTATCGACTCGTAATATGTTTAAAATCTATCAGTAATGTGCATAACCTTCAAAGCATTCTGACACATCTATTATTACATGACATCACTATTAACCGTAAATCATTCGATGATAGAAAATATTTCGTTTAATAGTCACAAAATCATCGAATCACAAAAATTATTATACTCGATCTCGTTCAAATTTCTTCTAGCTGATGACAGATGAAGACGACTCCCGGGGATTCTTACTTTTCCTTTTTCTTGCTCGATACTGTTCAATGCGTTCATTGATAAATGTCTCATGCATAAGAGGAAAAAACAAAACAAAATGAAAAAGAAAATAAGGAAGAACAAAAATTAAGAAAAATGAATAGTATCTCCATTTAAATCTTACAAAGGCCAGGGCCGTATCTGCACGACTGTTAGACTGATTTTTAAATACATAAATCAAAAATCGGAATAACATCGAGTACATGAAGATGTCTATTTGCTTAAAACATATGTATATATAAAATCTAAGAGATAAGAGAAGATCGTATAAGAGAAAGAGAGAGAGAAAAAGGGGTGAGGGAGTGAGTTAAATGAATAAAAATTAAAATCTAATCATAATTATTGTAAAAATACGTACTAACAGATTATCTCTCGTATCTTTCATCCGGAAAAATAAATGACACAAGAAGACCGCACGACGGATATTCTTTGGCCACTTGAAAAATATTCTAATGTAAATGTATGTTATGTATCTCCGTTGGGTGTGTGCGGTATATGTTCGTCAGTATCCGCACATAAGATCGTTTGATAAATGAATAAAAAGTATATACGATGGAAGTGCAGGCTGTCACTAGAAGGAAAATGTCATTTATGTCTTTACTTGGTTCATTAAAATTTGAGGTTACAGAAAGCGAACGAAAACGTAATACTACACTGTGCGTTGCTTTTGCTCACTACTTGTCAATTACAAGTACTTTGTAAAAGAGTGAGAAAGAAAAAAAGCGCGCGCACACACCAGAAAGAAAGAGATAGACAGAGAAAGAAAGAGAGAGAAACTGAAAAACAGAGTACGAAAAAGAAGAAAAAAAAACTAATGTTTTTGCTTTCTCTTTCTCTCTCTTCTTGTCTCATAAGATTATTATAAATTTACAAGAAACACGATACGTTCTCCAGCAATTTTCTTCTTCTTATTATTAATATTATTCTTATTATTATCGTTGTTCTTCTTCTTCTTTGGTGACAGTGTCGAATACAATTAAAATTTTAAGTTACTGCGTACTCGTGACATCGTTAGACAATAAAGAAAGAAATAAGTGCGTTTTCTAAATAGGTTCTTTCAAAATTTATGTACACAAACTGTAATCACGGTTATTATTTATAATGAGGTTTTGAACGTAACGTAAATTTCGATATTATTTCAGACGAATTAAATTAATTTATTTATCTGATAGTAATTCTATCTCACATAGTATACAATACATACATACATATATACGTCAGATAGCATATATAGATTTTCTAACGGAAACACAGTGGCGTCATTTCGGAAAAACACAATTAAAGTGAATGAGAATAATTGGCGCTGTATTTGTATTTTCTTAGATTTTATTACGAGTTTCAAATAAAGGCAAAATATAATTTTTATTTATACGAATTATCATTAAAGTAACAATTATTAAATTATATTTATATTCAAACATGTGCTAAATTATCTTTAGAAAGACATTAATAAAAAGATAAATTAATAGTTAAAGCTTATTTGTGCATTTTTACCAAAATCCAAATTATATAGATTATAGATAATGAAGGTCATTAGAAATAGATACTAAACAGTTTTCATCAGAGATAACTTGATAAGAATGTAAATATGTAAATGTGTTCAGATATTATTTTGAAGATTATTAATACATTTTTTATAGAACATACTAAAAATAAAACTTATACAATAATACGATTATAAATTAGGTTAACTTACAGTAATACTTATATTTTTTATAAATTTATCATCGTAATTAATGGTCATATTCAATCGTATCATAATTTACAAGTATTTAATAATAATAATAATAATAATAATAATAATAATAATAATAATA